TGTATGTCAGCATCGGCTTTAGAGCGTCTTCTGCGAGGAGCAGGTTCTTGGTAAATGTTGTTCTGTTGCTGCAAAGCCTGATGTCAGGTGAGGGGCATCGTGTGTTGTGGATGTGGGGAAAGGTGATGCTGCCCTGGAGATTTGGTAGTTGACATGGTGCAAGGAATGCCTGGATCAGAGAGGAGAGATTGGAAAGTGTGTCAACACATTTTTTTAAAAAATATGGTTTTAAGCAATTCACTGGTCTCCCCTAAGGAAGATCTGAAGGACTGCTGGATTTTAAGGTTCCAGATGACTTGTTTGCAGGACACTTGTGTCTGCAGCTGTTGCTGTGAATGTGTTGGCTTATCCATATCTATCCATGTGTTCCCACATGGAGGAGAGGAGCCTGCATGGGGTGGATGTGTGGAGGAGGGAGGTTTCATGCCCAACACGAATTCAGAGCTTGTCCCACCAAAGGTTTTCCTCCTCACCCTGTGTTCCTGGGCTTGCAGAGCCTCTGACAGTGGTGGGAAGGAGCAGGTCATCCCTGTGGTGTGGCAGTTCCAGGAACCCTGGTGCTACTGGAGCTGCTCGGTGTGGCTGGTATCCCACTAGCCATCCCGGGAAGCCATGGGATTTTGATCCATCAGGTGGTTTACTGGGAGCCCCACCACCTCACGGGGCTACTCCTCCTGGAAGACAAGGTGTGAGCTTCCAGCCGCTGCTGGAAGATGGTATTGCCCTGCCTGTGGTTGCATGGGGTCTGCTCATCCCTGTGTGTGAATCCGTGCCCGGCTGCATTGGGATCAAACGGAAGGAGCAGCGGGCACGGCGGGGCTGGTCTGTGCCTGCCTGGGCAGCACTGCTGCCGTGGTGTGTGGAAGCTCCTGCCGAGGCACAGCCAGGGGCACAGGGGCTGCATTCCCTCCTGGGCCCACGCTGTGTTCCAAGGGATTCTCATCTCTTACTGCCCCATTCCTCCTCTCCCAGGAACCCCCCTCTGTGATGTCAGGGTGCTGCCTCCACAGGCACTGAGTCCACGGCTCTTCCAGCAGGTCCCACCTATAGACCCCGCTCAGTCCATCGGGTCCCACGGTTTGGAGCCCTGAAGGGAGCATAGCCCTCCGTGCTGCTGAGGGGGGAGCTCTGCAAGGGCTGGGGGTCCCCAGCAGCGGCCCCCCAACTCAGGGCAGGGGAGAGGCTGCCCTTTAATCCCGTCTCTCTGCTCCAGCATCCCGACATCCCGCTGCCAACAGAGCTCCCGTTGTTTACCCAACTCGGAGGAATCGGTTTACAAGGCTCACAAATACCCTTTTCACCTTTCCCATCAGAAAACACCTCCCGAAACAATGAGGAAATTGGATGCCGCCACCTGATCGGTCCCAGGGAACCTGCAGGGCCGGGAGCTGGGGGCCGGGGGGCTGTGGGGGGATGCCTGGCTGGGATGGCCGGGATGGTCCCAGCACAGCTCTGCGGGTGGGCAGCCGTGGGTGCCACCCAAAAACCACCTCCAGGGGCTTTAATGGATGGAGCTGCCGATAAGTGGAGCGATGGCCAGTGCTCTCCACCTGCTCAGCTGGCAAAAAGTACTTGTTTTAAACTGTAATGGCTGTAGTTAATCATTCCCACGCCCTTGGACTCCAGGAGGAGGGATGTGACCTGTGAGCTGGTGACGGTGCCACTCACAGACTCCCAGAGTGGTTTGGGTTGGAAGGGACCTTAAAGATCATTCTGTTCCACCCCCTGCCATGGGCAGGGACACCTCCCAGGCTGCTCCAAGCCCCATCCAACCTGGCCTTGAACACTTCCAGAGGTGGGGTAGGAATAAAGCTGGACCATTCTTGTGAGTGATGGGCGAGGTAAAGGAGAGTCATACAAGGTGGAAGCTGTTTTTCAGCATTAAGTTTCAGTTAAATTTTAGTTTTCCTTGTATTTTTTTCCTCCTCACCTTAAAACAGGGAAATCAAACTGTATTTTATGGAGGAACAGCAGATTTCCCCCTCCCTCCCTCCCTGACATTACAGCGGGTGCTCTGAGGGCACGATGAATTTCCCTATTAATTTAGAAGTTGCTCTGTTCATTCCTCCCGGTTAAGATAAATCTGAAGACGTGTCCTTGTGAAGACAAGTCAAGAGTGTAATTCCTTTTTGTCTTCAGCCATCCCTCTGAACTGAATTTCCTTGTCCCCGGAACTGGCTGCAATCCTGCGTTCAGGCAACACGCGACAATTTTTGGACTCTCCTTTTTTCCTCTCTTTTTCTTGTGATAAATGTAGCTTTTTACTGAGTATTTTAAAGGAGAATTTCCTGTAGAACTGGCCTCTTGCATGGCAGGAGCTCTTGGTCTTCTCTAGGATGGTCATTACAAGCTGTTCTTGTGACAAAGCAAAATTTTTTGGGAGCAGCCCTGCTTTTGGAGAAGAGAGAGGACACTAAGGGGGAAATGGAGGAGAAAAAAACAGGGAAACTGGAGGACAAAGGGAAACATGTTGGGGGGGAATGTGGCTGGCAGAGAGAAGCAGTCAGAGGGAACACCTCAAAAGCCCCGTGCATGGTGAGGTGGCTCTGTCTTGCTTGATGTAGGAGATCTGGAAGATGTTCCTGGGCTAATTTCCAGGCCAAAGCCCTGTGCTTCTGGAGCTGGGACTGAGCGGTCGTGGCAGGGACTCGCCTTGTTGTTTTATCCTTTAAACAAATAAACCAAACATAGGCCCTGGTCCTGGAGTTCCTCAGATGAGGAGGTGCCAGCAGGATGTGGTGCTGGGATGTTCTCAGCTGCCCCAGCTGCTTCATGGCCCCTCCCCTGTTTAAAAATCTGCTTGGCCCCATCCCAATAGGCTGGTGTCGTGGGGACCGGTTGGTTTGCAGGTGTTGGCCAAGGTTTTGGCCATGGAGGTTTAATAGGTCCTCCTGGTATGGAGATGAGGGTGGATAGCAGCTTTCTCCTCCTGCTCCGGCGGTGCAAGACATCTGCTTGACTTGTTTGTGGCTTCCTGTTTGGCATCTTCTGGGCAGGAGGGAGCTGGCAGGGGCTGGAGGAGGGAGCTTGAGTCACTCCAGAATCCTGTGCCAGGAAGCCTCTGACTCAGCCCAGCCGTGGAGTGTGGGATCCAGCTGCCTCTCGGGGTGGGAACCCGGGGCGAGCGTGCAAGTGTTCACTTGCACTGCGTGTCTGCGGCCGGGAGGGAGGGGCAGGGGCTGCTCCCCTACTCCTGCCCCGCTCCGGCCTTGCGTCAGGGCTCCGGCCGTGGGTGGGGAAGCCTTTATCGCTCCCGAGGCTTTGGAAGCCCGTGCTGGCCACCGGCCAGGTGACCTACTTGGTAGTGTGAAGCGAAGCCTGGCTTACCTGCCGGTAGTGCCGCGGATGGAGCCGGACTGTGCCGTGCTGGCAGCACGGTCAGCATCCCACCTGCATCCCTGAAAGCCCTTCAGGGGTCGACTTCCCAACTCTCTCATGGTCACCTTCTGCCAGAATCATGACTTGTGTAAAACTTAATCACTTCCCAAACCTACTGTGGCCAAAGCCATGCTGTACTGCCGGTGCCAGGGTTGGGATGATCCCGACCATCTCCCTGCGCCTGATGCCCCATTGGGCATTGCAGCTGCTTTGGATACTGCTGGAGCTGATATGGTGGAGGCAGAGCTGCAGCCGCGCAGGGAGGATGGGCGGATAACCTGCCTGAATCCAGCTCCATGGGACCGTACCCACCATCCCTGTGCCAACTCTCCTGGGCTGGGAAAGGGCGGGCACCCCGGCTACCCGTCTGATCTGGCAGCAAGGTGCACATGATGTCTGTGTGTCTGTCCCACTGCTACCGAGCTGGCACCGAGCTCCGGAGCCCATGCCAAGGGCATCGGGGGGTGCGTGGGCTCTGGCTCCGCCTGCCAGCTCCCAGCCTGGCATGTGGATCTGTGGGGCTCCTGCAGCCAGAGGCCTGCTGCTGGTTCCAGCTCCGTGGCTTCTTGCTAAGACTTGTACTGGAGCCACGGAGCAGGTTGGTTTTGTGTGTTTGATCTTCTTTCCATGGAGCCTGCAGCTCCAACTGGAGCAGCTGGCTGGGGGCAGAAGGTGTCCCGGACCCCATCCAACCGCCAGGATGGACCGGGACAAGGATGGGCCGTGTCCGAGAGCGGAAGGGGAAGCGTGACCGTGCAGCCAAAACACTTGCTTTGGTTTTTGCCATGCCCAGATTACATGAGGGAGTTGCAGCAGAGATAACTCTGCAGGAACATCCATTCCCACCTTATCTCCCATCAGGAACGCTTGTTGCCTACATCAAAGTAGATGATCTGCTGCTTCCCTCCTTGCTACCCTAATCCTCTCCTTCATGCTGGAAAAACCTAATCAGAGCCTTGCCCCACCATAACGAGATCCGAATGCTAATTATCAGCATCTTGCCTTCCTTCCCTTCCCAATGCCCTGCCTTCCAGCCCCGAATAGCTTTCCTCCCTCCTTGCTCCTCTCCATCCGGTCCTCCCACGCTCCTGGGCACGCCGTTGAGCCTGGTGAGGCAGAAGTTGTCCTGCAGGATGCTTCCCTCCCTTCCATTTAAGGACAGGAATTCCTTGGGGAGCCGGGGCGTGGAAGGGATCCCTCCCTGCACCCCATTGTCAGGACTTCTCCCTGTGCCTAATTATTGCCTGTCCCTGCAGGAAACTCCTTGCCTGGCCGTCGGGCAGAGCCACGGCGTCTCCAGCCCGCTTGCTCCTCAGCCCTTTGTGGGAAGACTCCATTCCCTGTTGGATGCCAGGCTTGGGGCTGGGAAGGGTGCCCGCCCTTTCATGGCTGGAGAGCAGGACTGACCCAAGCCAGCCCTGGTTTTGTTGGAGGGAGCCCACACTGGCTCTGTTATATGCTGGGATGGGGAGGGAAGAGGAGAACTTAATTCTGGTGTCAACTATCTTGTAGAGGGGAAGCAGCAGAGTTGAAGCACAAAATAAATGTTGTGAGTGGGGTGGGATGGGCTGGTGTGGCTCCTGCTCCAGCATGTGGTAACCTCTCACCCTCCTCTCTTTCAGATTCATGACTGGGAAGGGGCTGGTCATCTACCCGGAGATTGGGGATAAACTGGACATTATCTGCCCCAAGGCGGAGCCGTCCAAGCCTTACGAGTACTACAAGCTGTACCTGGTGAGGAAGGAGCAGGCAGATGCCTGCAGCACCGTCATGGACCCCAACGTGCTGGTGACGTGCAACCGGCCTGAGCAGGAGATCCGCTTCACCATCAAGTTCCAGGAGTTCAGCCCCAACTACATGGGCCTGGAGTTCAAGCGGCAGCAGGATTACTTCATCACATGTGAGTCGCCCTCCTCCTCCTCGCCGCCGGCCCTGGCTCGGGAGGGCTGCGGGCTCCTGGACAGTGTCGCCAGGCACTTGTGTGTGACTTGGCCGGTGCAAAGAGCTGACACGTACGGAAAATATGTCCCGCTGGATGGGAGCAGGGGGAGGAATGTGTCACTGGCTGAGTGGGGTCACCGGTCTGTGTCTGGCTGCTCTGCTGTCCCTGCCCCGCTTGTGACCAGGAGCAGGAACATGTCCCCAGGCGGGGTTGGCTCTGTGTGTCTGGAGCACTGTCATGCCTGGAGCTTATATTTTACTGCCATCTTTGCTGGAGGCATTACAGGTCATTTGCAGGACTTTGCTTGGGAGAAAGAGGAATGGTGTCCAAGGAGATGCTTGTCCTTGTCCGTGGGTGCTGCCTCCAAGAGCAGCTCCGGCAGCGGGAAGTGCCAGTGGTGCGCAGTGTGTGCTGTGATCCAGATGGCTGCAGAATTCTGCACGTTGGCCTGTCCCTTTTGTGTCTTAGTGCTTTTTATGGAGGGGAGAGGGAAGGACATTGGAATTTTCTTGGGGCCTGTTGTTTGTGCATGCAGGGGACCATTGCACAGGGGTGTATCCGCCTGTGCTGGCTCTGGTGTGGATGGAGGAGGACGCTGGGGAGCTCGGCCATGTCCAGGCAGTGCTGCCAGCTCGCTCTTCCTCCCCTCCTGTCCTGCTCAGCCTGGCTGTTCCCGCCTGGCTCCGTGCATGCAAAGGGCACGGTGGCCGTGGCTCGGCTCCCTCGCCGTCACGTGCCATGGGCTCACCTGCCATGGGCTCACCGGCGAGCAGCCGGCGCAGGGGTCAGCCGCCCGCGTGGGAGGCGAGCGCCGGCCGGGGGAGCCGCCACTTTCCCCTCCGTAAACAGGGTATTTTTAGCCTGGAATCTGCGGGAGGGGGCGGCGAGGCCGTGGCAGAGCTGGGGGCAGGAGGGGCTCTGCCGTAGCGCGGTGTCGTGGTGAGGCTGCCGGTGTGGACATCCCCCGCCAGCCCGGCCGGGGCTGGAGTTGTGCTGCAGAATAGTTGGGAATAAACCTGATGCAGAGGAAGCAGCCGAGCCCAGCTCTGGCAGGACAGCCCTGAACCCCCCTCAGTTCTGTCATGGGAAATGGTTCTTAGTGCTTCCTGACGTGTGACTGAGTGGGTCGGGAGTGGTGGTTCTGCTCCCTGCATGGCCATGGAGATGCCAGAGTGGCTCCTGGATGGTCAGACAGGAAGGTGTTGCTAACAGGAGAGGTGACAGGACCTGGCACAACAACCCGCTGAGCCGGCTTGGCACAACGCGGTGCTGGCAGCGACCATGGGCTGAGTCACTGCCGGGCCGGACTCTCCCGGAGTGATGGTCACCGTCCCTGTGCCAGCCTGGGGACATCTATCACCTGTCACTCAGGGAACACCAGCTCTGCAGCCATCAGGGATGCAGGAAGCCCTGATTCCAGCCCGGGCACCGCAGAGATGGGTTTGGGATGCCAAAAGCCCTGGCACAACTCCCATGCAGACTCCCATCTCCTCCCCATATTTGGCACCAGCCTGATGGCCCTGGGATGCCAAAGTTCAGCCCTCTGTGGTCCCTCAGCTGATGAAAAGCTTGATTCAACACCAGCTTTGCTCGCAGTGGGCAAAGAGGGCAAAGAGGGGCCAAAATCACAGCCTTGGTTCAGGCAAACATCTTGAAGCACTTGGTCAGTGGCTTCTCTGTGTTTGGAGGTCAAGTTCAAGCATTGATAGGGTCATCAAACTAACGAGGGCTGAAAGAAGGGGTCCTCTGAGCTACATCCCATGGGACCTTCAGGCTGTAAAGAGCCCTCAAAGACAAATATGTTCCCCAAAACAAACTCAGAAGTGGAGCAAAGCACTGGGAAGAAGAAACGTGAGATCCCTCATATGTCATCCAAGTCCAGGAAAGTGGGGGCAGAGGGATTTACCAGCCTCTGAATTAGCCAAATTTTAAGGAGCTATTTTTCATTTCACACAAAAACTCAAGTGAAAATCAACCTCCTGGAGCTTTCGGAGGCGTTTTCACAAGCAGCTGACAGTGTGTTGCCGACTCCAAACGTGGCTCCCCAAGGGCCCCCGTGGCTTTGGGTCGGTGCCAGCTCCCCTCCAACGCTGCCGGCACACCTGGGGCACTGCAGGTGACCGGCTCCGGCTCTGGCTCGCTGTGGATCCGACGGGATGCACAGCCTGGATTTTGTAAAGCCGGCATAGCACAGTTTACAAAATCCTGGCTGTGCGTCCTGTCGGATGTTTGGCTGAGCCTTTTAAGCTCATTTTTTTAACATAAAGTCCTATTTATCCTCTATTTCCCAGTTTCGTGCTGTCTAGGGAAGCAGCGAGCGGGGTGCTCGGAGCATCCCTGTGGGGTGTCCCCCCTCCCCTCGGGGGGCCGGCACTGCCCTCTGCCCCTTCCTTGGACCGTTTCTGACTTTAATTTCTCTTGACTCCTCCGTGCTTTGATGCGAAACCCCTCAGAGCCGGGAGCTGCCAACTGAACTTTGGCCCCTGGGTGGGCTGAGGATGCTCCTGTGATCTGGCCATACCCTCTGCCGAGCAGCCCCAGGAGTTCTTTCTGCCAAGAAATAAAATAGCCAAAAAAACAAAGTCAAAAGTCTCCCGAGCAGACCACCCACGTGTTGTCTTTTTTTTGTCCCCCCATTTTTTCCCCCCTCCCTCTCCCCAAGCTTTGCCTGGACACACAAAGGGGTTTTTTCCTTCCTTTTCATTTCTAAGCCGGGGAAGCGCCACTGAAGCCGAGGGGAGCAGGACGTGTGCCGCTGGAAAACCTGCCCACGGGAGCCGGGGGCTTCCCGGGGTCCCTCCCATTCAGGGCTGCTCCTCGCCCTCGCTTTGGATATGCCAAGCCTTGTTTAGGGACACTTTTATCACGGAGGGACACAGCCCCAGCCCTGGGCTTAGCAATGAAAAGGCTTTTGAAAGCCGACATTCCCTGTCCCTGTCCTCTCCGGAGCCTCACACCGGCCCCCTCCACGCCAGCTCCAGGCTTTCCTTGAAAGCATCTTTACTCCAGAGGCTGGGCAGGGGAAGGTGATGCTTCTTCCTAAGCCTTTCCATAAAGAACAAGATGTGGCATCTCCTGCCTGCAGGTCCATGGTGAATGCAGAGGCTCGGGGGGACCATGAGGCTCCAGCAGGATCTAGGCACCATCCCCAGGATGGGGTGCTGAGAGGGCAGAGGAGCTGGGAATTTGGGAATTGGGTGTTCTTTTCCATGACAGGCTGTGATTTCTTCCATCCCTGGTCTCCCAGGTGCTTCCCTGCCTGCTTTTGGTGCCTGGATGGGATTCCCTGTCCCTGGCATCCCATCCCTTCCCTACAAAACCATCCTGCACCATGGGCAGACAGAGGGAAGTGTGTGCTGGTGACTCTCCAGGCGGTTGCTCCTGCTGTGCTGTATGGGAGGTAGGAAGGCAAGGTCCAACAGGAAGGAAGTTTTGCTTTTTTCCCCAAAGGGAAGTCTTTTCCCTGGTTCCTGGGCCAAACACAAACCATGGGCAGGCTGCTGGGAGCATCCATGGGGACTCCGGGGTGGTTTGTACTTGCAGACTGGTGTGTAGATGCAGGTTCTCCTGCCATTCCCTGGCCAGCAGTGAGGTTTGGATCATTCACAGCATCCTGATCAAGGCAGGCACGTGATTCCTCCGCCTTCTGTCCCTGCAGAGCTGGTGGAGAGGCTGGTGGCTTGTGAATGGCTGAAATGGGAGGGAGGAATGTATCCCAGTGCTTCAAAATTATCTGTTCAATTGCATTTTGGGCTGGCAGGAGCAAAAGGACACAGGAAGGGGGAAACTGAGGACTCCTCTGGGAAGATATTGTCCAGAGGCGGGGTGGGGGTCCTGCTTTGGGCCTGCAGGTCCCCTGCCACATGTGTGAGAGTGTGGCCATGCCAACCTTTCTCCTCAACCTTGGTTTTGTGGATTTCTGGTGATTTTCCTTGTTTCCAGGGCAGTCTGTGTCCCACTGGAGTGGCCCTCCCTCTCCCTGGTGCCTGTGCTCCCGGGATGCTCGTGGGCAGCTCCGGCCCCACCAGGGCTCAGCCAGCCCTGCAGGTTCAGCTCCCTGCACCTCCCCTCCTAATTCACTCCGGCTCCTAATTGCGTTTGCTGCTCCTCTTTGAACTTGCTCCAGTTTCACTATCTCTGGTAATGAGGTGCCTGGATAGAGATCCATTAATCCCCATGTCCTGGCAGCAGGGCGGTGTGAGAAGGAGCTCCCGGTGTGGCTCCCTGCCATGTCAGAGCTCTGGATCAGAGAATCAAAGAATAGTTTGGATTGGAAGGAACTTTTAAAGGTCACTAAGCCCATCTCTGGAATGCCCCATCCTGGAAGTGTCCAAGGCCAGATTGGACGGGGCTTGAAGCAACCTGGTCTAGTGGGAGGTGTCCTTGCCCATGGCAGGGGGATGGAACAGAATGATCTTTAAGGTCCCTTCCAATGCAAACCATTTCATGATTCCATGATCTTCAGCTCAGTCAGGTCTGTGAGGGGTGTTGGTGGTGCCCAGCTGTGCTGGTGCCTCTGTGCTCTGGCAGGGACATGCCTGGTGGCGTGTTCTTCAGCCTTGCACTTGCTCCATCCTCGGACACGGTTCCCCAGTTCATTCTCTGTTTGGTTTTGGGGTTGTTGGTGGTCCTGGAAGCCCCTTCTGTGTTCAGTGGGGTGTGGGATGATGGAGACCGCCAGACAAACCTTGATCAGCCTTTCGGTGCTCTCCAGGCAGCTGTTTGCAGATGTGGTGAGCAGTGCCAAGGTGTTCTTCCAGGTTGGATCTCTCACTTGTCCCTCTGGCAAGCCCCTGGCACGGCTGCAGTGTCTCACCTCTCCCCTGAGCCTCTTTAAAGCACAAAGGCCTTGTTTGATGACAATGCTGAAGTAAAAGCGAGGCCCTGGTAGATGTTTCCCCATAAATCCAATGCGTTTGCTGTTTATTGGGAGTCTTTAAGCCCTTCAATCCATTTTT